CAGTCCCAGCAAGGACTGTGATATGGGAAAATGCCTGGCCTTCTTTGAAAGTAAAATCTACACACTGACTCATGGGAACTCGAGGCAACGTGTCGAAATTATACGACAACCTGTCATGGTATAATCTCGCTGGGGGTGCTGATAGGCAATAAGCGGGGCCTAAATTGCAGTAGACATTAGATGAGGGTATGCGAAATTAAATTGAAACATCATCTCTACTAATATCATTAAGGGAAAATTGAATTACCAGCATTGCAGAATTTTGAGCGAAACAAGGGGAACGCATTTCAACTGATTTACTGGTGGCCCCGAGATTCAGCTTATAAGCAAAAAACGTAGGGAAAATGACTGGCTAGCCGAGGCGAGCAATCCTATTAGTGGATGTAATCGACCAATAACAAAGCAGCAACTCAGATCAATAATTGCTCCAGACTGCTGATTTGCTGTGTAGACTGGCTTATTAGTGGCCTTGACGTGTGACGGCAGCAGTGACTGATATGGTCTCGGCCGGCGGCGATTACGAAGTCGGCCCCAGGGTGCTGCACATTTTGCACTTTAACGACGTGTACAATGTGGAAGAGAAGCCGGACGAGCCGAGGGCGGGCGCCGCTCGCTTCGTCACGGCCCTGCGTGAGCATGGGGGGTGTGCCGAGGGGCTGGTCCTCTTCTCGGGCGACGCTCTCAATCCGTCCACCGTGAGCGCAGCCACCCAAGGCAGACACATGCCGGACATCCTCAACCAGATGAACATCACTTGCGCTGTAGTGGGCAACCACGATTTCGACTTCGGCCTGGAGGTGCTGGAGGAGTGCATGGCGAAGACCAACTTTGCCTGGCTCAACTCCAACGCCTTCGACATCGAGACGGGACGCCGACTGGGCGACACTCTCGCCTACAAAGTGGTCGACCATTCGGCCTCGCGCCTCCGCATCGGCCTGATCGGCCTGGTCGAGGAGGAGTGGATCTCGACTCTCTCCTGCCTCGAGCCCAGCGCCGTCCACGTCGTCCCCTTCTGCCAGATGGCGCGCGATCTGGCCCGTCAACTCAAACGGCCCCTCGACGAGGGCGGTCTCGAGACGCCCAAATGTGATCTCGTCATCGCTCTGACGCACATGCGATGGCCCAACGACCGTCTGCTGGCGCAGAACGTGCCCGAGATCGACCTGGTCCTGGGCGGCCATGACCATGACTACGGGATAGAACGCATCTCGATCGGGCCAGAGGCGCTGGCGGCATCGCCGGAAGCCGCCGGCATAAACACTCCTCACGAGCGGGTCATCCTAAAGAGTGGAACTGACTTTCGCCAGTTCTCTCATCTGAGGCTGTACTTCGACCCCCAGAAGCGGCTACAGCAGATACACGTGGAGGAGGTCACTGTTGACAGTCGTTGGACACCGGATCCCAAGGTAGGTTCGTGCATGGCACCACTCGCACGACGCATGCGAGCACAACTTCAACTGCTCTCGCAAACTTTTCGCAAGTTGCTTCGGAGAGCCGCTTAATTGTCCCGTGAAATCTGCCCATTAGTGATTATTCGGGCATCTTTTCTGTATCCTTCATACCCAACGAGAGCATATTAACTTCCACATCGATTCACCGATGTTGCGGCCAAGAAACATTCCCAAAGGTCTGGTAGTCCGGTTTTAACTCAAAGATGAACGATTGAGGGGCAGTTACGCCCACGGCCCCCTGTCCCATGTTATCAAATACTTTTGCCTAAGTACCCTGGTGCCTTGGTGACGCGAGCCTAGGACATATTCGGGATCCCGGTTGCTCCTACTTTACGTACGTACATGCGATAGATTGGAGGCATTCGCATGCCAGGCTCTTTGTGCTTTTCTCAATCGTAAGGACAACTCAGTTAACGACTGATAGTGGAATTTTGCCCATTCCGCAATTGAATTTCAGAGCAAGCAAGGCTTTTTCCTAACCACATAGTTAACTGAGCAAGCGGATTTGTCATTAACTTCGACTTACTTGCCCATGTTCGGTATGCCTCGGAACAATCAATAACAAGAGTGAACTTCCACAGAATCCCGAAGCCTAGTTATAGCATTGTTGGAATAACTTCACGATCAGTCCGTAAGTCACCTTTACGACCTTGGCTGATCAAGTTTTCATTCTCTACATTATTAGCCTTAGAAACGATCAGTACTTATCGAAACTGCAATCCATCCTGGATGAGATAGCCTTTTAGAGGAAATGCTAAGTAAACTTAATGGCATCGTGTAGCCTACTCATATCATTGCGGAAAAGAAAGCTCAGTTATTAGTCATTCAGTCCCCTTAAGCCACCTGAGCTTACTAGGTCCCTTAACAACACTTACTGATAGGTTCGAAGGCTACTAATGACGAAAATGACTAGCGTCGTTGATTACCTAACTGGCAATCCTACTATAAATGTGAGTTGGGAGGGGCCTTTATTGGCCTAAATGTCGCATGAGCACCTTTGGCAGTATAGTAGAGTGACAACGTCGCTACCATTCCCACGTTCGGGTATCGAGTCCTGCTGAGGGTGGAAACTACATTCCAGGCTGTCTTGCCTCTTGGGGGGAAAGATTGAGTGAAATTCAATGACCTTACGAGGCCTACTCATCTCATTGTGGGAAACAACTCAACTATTTTCCTTCAGATATAAGGACCAGGCGGTTGTGTCCTCTATTATGGTCACAGTCTCCTTTTGATGCATAGAAGCAACTTGTCCTGGTTTTACAACTTAGCCGTATTGCCTGGACAAACTAGTTGGACGCACCTTGCCAGAGGTCTTCTGCTATAGTAGCTATGATAATCCCCAACGTTCAACCGTTGACTTGGTATATTCCCGGATGTATTGCCGGCATCGTTAGTGATTCTTGTCATTCTGTGCGCCAGGCTACAACTCGTTAAAGAGACAATTGAAGTCAACCCCTTGACCAACTTTCTGCCGAAGGACTTGCCTCTTCAGAGGGTAAGGAGTAGCTAGATGAGCCAAGGTAGAAGGGCTGACTAGTTGTCTCTGAGGCATTTAAGCTTGGTGTTGAGAATGGCTAGACGCACCGACGATGCCGGTGAACGTTTGGAAATGTTCCAAGTCCTCATTTCAACACTGGGAATTATCGTAAATACTATAGCAGAGGACCTTGGACAAAGTGCATCCAAATACTTCACCCTGACAACACGACCAAGTTTAGAAAACGAGTTCAGATTGCCTCTATCCTTTCTTAAATCACCTTAAACGACCTAGGCTGAGTGAGTTCTAATTTAGCTGTAGCAATTACTAATAGTTTCAAGGAATATTGAAAGTCTGAATCCGACAATGGGGTGCTATCTTTCTGTACGCAACTTCACCTTGGGAATACATGTTCTGTCTTGTGTGTAAAATTGCGTTCCATCTTGTCCAGTGAGTATCGGCCATCACCACTATCATCATCATATATCGTTTGCAAAATATTCTTCAAGGAGAATGGTACAAAGCATTGGGGAAGCCGTCTTTTCACCCTGAGATCACCGAATAGGATCCGGTATAAAGAGCCGGTCAAGACCGAACTAGACTGAACACTTCGCGAATGTATCACTGGGGCCAACAGTGAAATGGAATTCTTTTGGTCCTCTACCTGATGCACATCACAGGACAGCTCCCTTTATTGAACTATGTAGTATAGGGCACTGACTTTCACCACCCACCAACTTGGCATCTGACGCTCAGAGGGTGTGGTGATTCTGGATACGTCTTTTCTCAGAGGCATTGATGACTCCCCTCCGGGTCTGGCGTTCTGGATCGCTCGAGGGAATGTCTTTGGCCAACAGAGCTCGAAAAGTGGTCAAGGCCAGATTCATAGAACTGGTTTGAGCACTAAGCTTCCACTTCCCAGATATTGCTGCTGTAGCTGGGCTTTGACTTTTAGCAGTGTTCTTTTTATGTTTTTCATTGTATATCTTGTTTTCTCTTAATCATCAAGGGCCCTTGATACATTTGTTCCTTACTTCTTTCAGACTGCTGAATTGGTTGCCATATGTTCTGCAAAGATGATGGCTGAGATGGACTCTGTGATTGGCCAGATCGACGTTGATCTGGATTCGAGGTTCTGGGCGGTACGCACGAGAGAGACAAACATTGGCAATTTGATCTGCGACATCATCCTCGCTGGCGTAGAGGCGGACTGTGCTTTGCTCAACTCGGGCACTTTTCGAGCCGATAAAGTGATACCAGCTGGTCCATTTCGGCTGCGTGATCTTAACGCCTTGCTCCCAATGTTCGACCCCATCGTGGTGCTTCGGATGACCGGGGCTCAATTGCTCAATGCGCTAGAGAACTCCGTCTCCGAGTACCCAAAACTGGAAGGCCAGTAATTTTTAGCATTCGATTTGCCCGACAGAGCAATGATCAGAATTAGAAGCTAAAAGAAACTCATTTGAGGAGTTGATGCCGAGCGTGGTGGGACCCTAGGCTCGAGGAATCTCAGAATGAGCCTATTGTTGGCTTTTTCCCATTAAGTTTTCTCCTTCTTCGTGAACACTATTTAGTATTGGGTGTGAATTAATGTAGAAGTCAAACACTCCGATTATTGAGCAAACAGGCTGCTCAACCTGTTTCCTATTTTGCTCATCACCATGAGAACTAACATTCTATTCATATATTTGTTTATCCATTATTTAGGTTTCAAAGTATTAGTACATATATACACATATATATATATATATATAAATATATAAATCTGAGCTGTCGATAGTAGAGATCCTATGTTGGTGACATCCATGATCCAGCGAGATTGATAGTCGCTGGCTTCAGGGTCATACTTATAATAGTGCATCTCAAAAAAAATCGGTCAGGGTTCAACTAACTGCTTAATATTTTACTAGCACTATACTGAATCATCATTTATCTTCGTGGCCTTTATCCTGTTACGTACGACACTAAAGTCAGGACGAGTAACAGCAAAAGCAGGAAGTGCATACTTTTTTCTACGCAGATCATTTTGGATTGTCAGGGCAAAAAAAAATTATTTTCATATGCGCATTGACCTTAAGGAAAGTTATTTTTGGCGTCTCCTGTTTATCTTTATTAATAAGTATGTTCTATTCGCTGTATATCTCATGTTCCCTATTGCTTTACCTTCTTTTTTTATATCTGCTTACCATAATCTTTCATATAACTGTTTCCTTATAATTATTCGTTTTTATTCTTGCTCGGCAATTTTTTCTCCATATCACTTGCCTGTGGCCCTTAACGTGTAAGGTAATCAGCTAGGCTCTCGGTTACCTAGCGATGTTTCCTGGCTCAGGCACCACTGGCTAGGAGGGCATGTCGAATCTAGGAGTTAGGATTTATTACCAAATATCGACTTGACGCTTGTGTCAGATAGTCACGAGATCAAGTCCTTTTCGACAATTCATGTCCCTTACGACAGAATTTTGGATTTCCTAAGAGTGCTCCTTCAATCCAAACTGATTGTACCAGTCATTTGTTGTTTGAATGCAGGACATTTGCAATTCTCTAGATAGATTAAAAAAGAAGTGTGCCTAGTTCACCTACTGTCGTTACACTTGGTATCCCAAAGATGCCGGACTAAGTCTTCACGTAGCCATTTCATATGCAAAATCTAGCTAGTTCGTATGGTTCCAAGATGTTGGTGATGCTTAAGGGCGTGCATTCTAAGCTTCTACACTACCTGCTTTGTATTAAGAGTATGTAGGCTTCGAAAGTAGCTGTAGATCTTCAATAAAAACTAGAAACATTATAAGTCGTTCAAAGCGATGTAAGGAGTGATAGTTAAACTTTCCACAATGATCGAAAGTATAAGACCAAGATGGTGTGGCCTTTTTTGTGGTCGCAGTCTCCTTCCGTAGTATAGACATTGTTTGACCTTGTTTTCGCAACTTGGTCATA